AATTAGAAACTACTTTATTAGGATAATATTGCTACTGTGAGACTGGGGAACCCTAAAGCTGGTATTATTAAAATGCAGTAGCTTCATAGATGCAGCCATATTTCCCTGAGGGTTTCCCAGCTTACTCATGAAAAACAACAACCAAAAAAAAAACCCAAAAAAAAAACCCCAACAAAACAAGATCACAAGCCAGCAACTGTGCTTTGGGTGGATGTCCTAAAGGGAGTGACAGAAAACACAGGGAGAGGCAGTTTTCATGGCAGACTGTGTTCATGCTTCAGTAACTCGGCATCTGTTTGAGTTCTGCCTGCTGCGATGGGTAAGGCAGAATCAGGAGATGTCATGTTATTAGTTTTCTGCAAAGCACATGAAATCAAAGATTAATGAACAAGGCAAAAATTCACAGAAAGTAAGGTGTTGTCAGGCATCCCAAACTGTCACGCTTGGAGAGGTCTTCTGAAGACCCACAAAGGCAAAACTGATGTTTATGTCGGTGTGAATTTTCCCTGTCCTAGAGGTGAGGATCTGAGCCAGGCTGCATGATGCTGCCATGGTCCTGAGAGTTCACACCTCTAGTCCCAGCACATCTGGAAGCTCAGGTAGAGCCCAGGTAGAAGTAGTAAAATGCCAGACTGAAATGTGGAGCAGTTTAGGTGGAAGATAGGGCTCTTGCACGTTGCTCAGGAGAAGGGAGCAGAAGAGAGGCTCGTGTAAGACATATGATGCTGGAAGCAGTTTGCACCTGCACAGTATAGACCTGTCCTCTTTAGATTCTGATGTACTCCTCATATATTAATCCATCATTGGGACTGTCACAGCTGGGGACATCAGTTCTTGAGTCAGCAAATGACAAGGACTTGGCTGCCTGGAGCAGTTAGGATCTCTTGCTTGCACTAACTGCAAGTAAAAATGGAGCACACCCAAAAAACGCCTGAGGCTGCAGCACCGAGCAGGATCGTGCAGACACTTTTCCCTTGGCAGTTTTGCTGCCCAGCTCTCAGCTGCCTGCTGCACCTCAACCCCACGGGGAAGGTCTGTCTCAGAGGCAGCAGCACCAGCCAGCCTGCCTGGGTTCTGATTCTCTGCTTAAGCCAAAAGTACAGGTCTCCCTTCTATGGACAACTTGGGTACTTTTTATTCCTTGCCTGGAAGATGTTCTGCAGTGTTAGGAGAAAATCACTGAAATACCAATGAGTTTTTAGCTGCCTTTAGAAAAAATAGAGGGTTTAGGGGATTTGGGGGTGAACTGTTACAGTGCTGATGTCTTTTTGATTTTTTCTGCATGAGCAGCACAAGAGAAAAATACAACCTTCTTTCTCAGTAGTTAATTTTCACAAATGTGAATTTTTCCTAGTGGGAACAAGGAGAAGGTTTCAACACAAGCTATTGTTAGCCCCTGCAAATGCCAAGTGTCTGCTCTTGGGAGGTGGAGAACAAAGTTGGCACCAATATCTAGTGGCTGATGCACTGATTTGGCAAAAGTTGCTGGAAATGAACATCTGATGGAGAGGTCTTGAGATGATTTAGTAAACACAGTGCAGTCTGAGATGACATTTGGGTTGTTATTGTGCAAAGTGCAGGGGTGATCAGAAGGAAGGTAACATGGAAAATGTGAAGGAGGAGTTTGGTTCTTTAGTTCCTCGAGTTTTTCTCCTGAGCTTTTCTAGCATATTGTCAGCAGTCCAATGGTACAACAAAGTTACTGATGTTAACTAAGGAAAGCTGAGATGCCAGAACATGCCAGATTTCTCATTTACTATAGACGCAGCTTTGTTTCATTTCCTCTGCAGAAATACAGGGGTATGAGTTTAATTTGGATGTAACTGGCATTTAGGAGCAAATTCAACACGGGTCTAACACAGCATGGGCCAACCCATCCAACAATTCATCATCCACGAGCCTGAGAGGCAGAGCAGCGCCGGAGGAGGAGTCCATGCGGTGTGTGGTCAGGCTGTGTGTGGAGGCATCCCTGGCTGCCCCTGCAGGGCCTCCCGGGAAAGGACATTTGGTGGGAAGTTGGGATATGAATCAAAAGTCTTGCAGCTACTGTTGTAAATGTTTTGAGCTGTGCTGCTGGTCTTGGGATGTTTCCAGCACCAGCTGGAGCCAGTGCGGCTTGTTCTCTGCTGGGAAGCACGTTGGGTCGGTGCCTCAGGGGTACCAGTGGCTCCTGGGCATGTTGTCTTCAGGGGATAACACTCAAGGAGTGAAGGTAAATGTGGGTCTGGGAAAGTTTTATGCTCCAAACAAAATTTCAAGTAGTTGATTGGCACCCACTGGCAGCGAGATGACTCCCAGGGAACCTCCTGATAAGTTTTCTCAGGAGTCAGCAGGACTGTAAGGACCCTAGTGTGACAGTGATGAAGTGAGGAGCAGAGGGGGAGGACAGGCAGTTCCCACTGCAGGGTGGTAGACACAGGATGGTAGGATCACATTTTGCATCTGGCTGATTTACTCAGAGCAGGAATAAAGATACCGCGCTCAGAGTTGGTTTGACTTTGACACATAAGGGAAAGAAAACAAAAGCACAAAAGCTCTAGAAACCTTGACAGCCAACCAGCCACCAAAATACCATCACCCCCAGCCAGCAGAGCTGCCTGTCTGCAGCCACAGGCTCGGGCTCTCCCCTGCCTGGCACTGCTGTTCTGCAGTAGCAGCTCTGATAGCTTTGGCCTTGCTGCTGATTACTGGAGGCTTTTGTGAGCAGCAGAGAGAGGACACAACCTGCAGCCCCTGCCAGCCTAGTCATACTTTTCTAGAGAGCTTTTAAGATTTATGGTCAAATTTTGCCGTGATTTGCCTTATTATGAATGTATGGTTGCTCCACGATTCCATAGCCTGGTTGGGTTGCCCCCCAGTCCCCTGAGCCTGCTGTGACAGCTGGGTCAGTGCTTCTGGGCACTAACAAGGCTTGACCCTGAAGCTTTCCCAGTAGAGCAAACCATGAGTGGGGCTGGAGCTGGCTGCTTGGCAGGCTTTGAGCCCTGATAAAGAGTTCTCTCCATTGCTGCAAGGCCAGACCTGTCCCCCCTCCGTGGTGAACCTGGGAGTGACAGCTGGGCTCTGCAGGAAGAGGGAATTTCCATGCTGAGTCATGGATTCTGACCAGACTAATTTTAAAAACTTGCAGCCCCAGGAACAGAAGCTGGGAACCTTGCTGAGAACCTTGAGGCTGGCAGAACATGGTGGTTGTGCTTATTATTAGCTGCAGTGAACGTTGCCCTCCCAGGAGAACGGGATTGTGGCTCCATGGAATGTGGGACCACCACATGGGGCCTCCTGTCTGTCCGGTGGGCAAGGGGAGCTCTGCAGTCAGTGCAGTGGCCTGTGGCTGTGGGTCTTGTGACAAGCGTGTCCTTGGACCTTGGTGGAGGAATAGCAAAAAGCCACCCAGGCAAATGTGTCTTTCAAGGACTTTCCTCTGACTGGAGGCCTCTTCTAGGAGGCTCAGAGACAAGGATCTCACCACCTTGGGCATTGCTCGTGCAGGGCACAGTCTGAAGCGTGGGACAGTGATGGACACTGGTGGAGGCTGGGTGTGTGTGCCTCGGGGCAGCCAGAGCCTGTAGAGGTTGGGACGTTGTCACCATGGCAAGGAGGGATGGGGGGGGCCTCTGTTTGGGCTGCACATCACCCAAAAACTGTAATGTGCACCATGATGTGCTGACTCATTCATCCCATCCCAAGCAGGCAGTTTTGATGTGAGAACGTCAATAAATGAAAATGGAGAATCCACATTTTACCTTTTCCAAGAGTTGTTTCTTATTTCTGCTTTGAAGATGATGGCTTCAGCTTCCTCCTTTTGCTATGGGGGGGCCTCTGTTTGGGATGCACATCACCCAAAAACTGTAATGTGCACCATGATGTGCTGACTCATTCATCCCATCCCAAGCAGGCAGTTTTGATGTGAGAACTTCAATAAATGAAAATGGAGAATCCTTTTCTAGGAGCTGTTTCTTATGTCTGCTTTGAAGATGATGGCTTCAGCTTCCTCCTTTTGCTTCCTATTATGTTTCTGTTAGTTAAGCACTGGGAGCCTTTAATAAATCCAGAGCCACCTTTTCTTTGCCTCTCTGAAATCAAGAGGTTCTTCCAGAGCTCTTGTAATGCAAATGATAGTAATGATACTGCGGCTAATCACTGTTATTCTATAGGGTGAAATGTCAAGATTCCATATTTTCATGTTAATTTTTAGTAGGCAGGTGCCAGATTAACTGTGCCCCATCCTGTCAGAGAACGTGCTTTTCATATCACAGGGACTGTTAGAAATCATTAGTAATAAAGTTGACTACTGTTGTGCCTGATGGATTGTTCCTGACATGCAATAATGCAAAGTGACATGGCAAATTGGGAACGAAGGATGAAAAGCTGCTAAAATTGTGAACATAGATAGAAATTAATTTTGTGTCTAAAATATGTTCCCGAGTTGTAACAACAGAGGAGATCTGTGTTGCTGCTGTTGAACTGCTCTAGGAAAGGAGCTAGTAAATGGGAGGGGTTGGTTTCTTACTACCTGCCTAGGTAGAAAAATGCTATATTGGCACCTGCACTTGCCTTGAAGTAGGATTCTGTGGGCAGTAGGATGAGTATTGAAGTGTCTTACCTTTAATTGTTCTGCAGTGGAGGACATCCCTGGTAGGACAAGCCCCCTGAGTGGTGTATTTTTGTTAAAAGTACTTTTAAGCAACAAGTATTTTACTGCAAACAGCTCCATTCTTCTCATCCAGACATTGGTATGACTTGCTCTCCTTTTGGTCTTGTATTCATTGCACATTATTCCTTTGAGGAAAGTATTTTTATCACTTTGCAAAGTAAAAAAACTTTTGGGTCAGATTTATCTCTCAATTAGGTCATTTTTAATTGACATTAAGTGAAACCAACGCTGTTTTATAACACACAAAACATCACACAAACGCTGCTACTTGAATTTACACCAGCTTAGCTGAGACCTGAGCCTGAAGCTCTCTTGACTGATAATTTGTTTGTCTGTTTGACTTCAGCAGCTAACCTCACTGCTCTGGAGAGCCTGGGCAGTGCCTTGGGCTTTGTTGAAGAGCGGGTGCGTGGATGGAGGCGGCGCTATCGGAGGCACGCGACGGAGGACGATTACAACATCGAAGTCCTGCTGGGGGTTGATGACTCAGTTGTTCAGTTCCATGGGAAGGAACATGTTCAGAAGTACCTGCTGACCCTGATGAATATTGTGAGTACCACCCCGCTAACTGCACCGTGGGAAGGCATTGAAGGGATGGTGAATGTAGGTTGGTGTAGCCAGTTGAATAAGACAGAACAGATTTTTCACGTGGCAGGAGATAAAATAACTCTAGGAGGCAAATCCAGGCCACGTCTTGGAGAGCCAAAAGGGAAGAAAGAGAAGAAACAAAAAGGGGCCAAGGAAGAAGCAGCTGACTGTGGGACTCTTGAAGTGTTCAGAGTCCTCCTTATGTGCTTTGGTGGATGTGGGCACAGGGTCAGGGGCTCAGGTTCTTGGAAGTCGTCATGTTTTAGTGGTATATTCCCTTACCCTAAGCTCCCTGCTGAAAAACATGGTTTGGAGAACTGCCTTCAAATAAGGGTCTATTAAAAACTTGGATTGGCTTATACATTTTTAAAACCACTCAGTGAAATTCTTTGATTCCTCAACAACCACTTTAGGTCCCAGGCCACCTCCCTACTCCTTCTTCACCCTGCAGTACAATTTTATGCAGTATCACCAAACTTTCTGAATTTGATTTAGTATTTACTCCATGGCTGATACCTTTAGGTTTCTGTAGTTAAATATTTAATGTTCAGAATCATAGTCTATGCAAAATACTATATAATCTAGTAGTGATGAAAGGAGACACTAGAGAATATTATATTTGAAAGAACCATTTTTTCTTTCTAAATATCAGTGCAGCAGCCTTCTAGTACCCCAGTCAGTAAGAAAGGACTCTATTTTGTGGGAAAAGAATCAAGTTTTGAAAAGTGATCTCTATTATAGTTCAAAATAAAAATGTTTTATTATTCTGGCCAATAATTGAAGTGAGTGGTAGCCCCCTTCATAAGCAACTCATTTGGGGATGACTTCCTTTCTTCTCAGTTCTCATCTGGAACAGGAGTCTCTGCTCAGTTGAACACACTTCTGTAAAAACTCTAGCTTCAGTGAATGTGTTCTTAGTAAAATATTCCTGAATGAAAAATGGCAGTTCTGCTCTGTTTTTGACAAATAGAGTATGACTGCTGAAGTTTGTGGTCATGTCAAGAGGATGAGCACCTGTAGGTGACTTCTTGGCATTACAAAATGTAGAGATGGATCCATGGACAGAAATTCAGGCTATTAGGTACATTTGCTTGGGAAGTATTTTTTCCAAGTTATATTTTTTTTAATTATGAAGCTGTTTTTTTCTTATTATTACATTCTTTTAACAATGTGTAGAATGTCAGTGTTTTTCACTTTAAATGAGAGGTGGAATACAGTTTAAGGAAACCCCTTGTGTGATATAAATTCAGTTGCACTGACTTTTTATAACAGTATTGTAGATAGTTAAAAACCTACCCTAACATTAGAGTCATAGGGCACTTAGTGTTTGCTCTGATGGCTGTAAATACATATATTCTAACAGAAATGACATACTGAATTTCATTTATTTGTGTGGTTTGTTTCCTCTGAGGCTTAAAACAAAGTCTACAGTGAAACAGATGGTTTTATGTATCTCTAAATTAACAAGCCAAACAGGCCAAACCAGGAATGTGCCAAACAGGCTGAAACAGATTAAACAGGACTCTTTACTTACCATGTCACTTAAATCTATTTTTAAAAATTAAAATATACAGTAATGGTGAAGAAGCCATAAATGTTCCAGTTCTGGAATATACTTTCTCCTAATTTTAGCAAACTATCCAACACACAAATTGTAAGAAATAACAGTTCTTAAGCATGCTGTCTCTGCAAGTGGTTTAGAAAGTGCAGCCTGTGTAACCGTGCCCACAGGGCTGCAGCAGCTCTTGGCAGAGTCAGTAGTTGTTCTGTTGGGAGATCTGAGGTAGAAACGTGTCTTTTGGGGACTGAGGACGTGTCCCTTGCCTTGTGTCCAAACACAAGGAGCTGTTTGAAATCCACAATGCTTCTTGAAGAGGCTCTGGGGAGTCTTTGGCAGTCATCAGTGTTGTCCTTTCCTCCTTCAAAACTCAGCTGGTTTCTGGAGTCTGTATTTTGGGAGAGGGATGGGTGATGGTAGCCAGTTGCATTTCCAGATGTCCAAGTGCTGCTCCAATATAGAAAGGCAAGAGTGGTTTCCTTACTGCAGGTACCAGACAAAGCTGGGGATCTGTGTCCTGTTGAGGGACATCCTGACACAGAACTTCTCCTTCCCTTTGGCAGTGAACCCCAGCTGGCAGCTCCCAGCTTCTCCAGCTCTTGCCCCCATTCCTAGATGGGTGCAAGGCATATTTCTGTGAAGACTGTTGCTTTGGTCTCCTTTGCTGAAATCTACCCACTGAATCCCCCATTGTCCTCTTGAGTAGATTGGATTTTTCTTTTGTAGAAAATGGGCCAAATATAAAAAACGTTGGGGTCTCTAGCTGTTAGGGGTCACATGTAGACAGTATGTTTCTAAAGAGATTCATAGATACAAGGGTAGCTGAAAAAGGACAGCTACAAAAAAATTCCATCTGTCTTTTAAATGTGATGAAAGATCCCACCATAACCATTAGATTGTCCTGTACCCTGCTGTTTTTATGGATGTAATCAATTAACTTCATACAGTAACAAGGCAGTAAGCATAAAATCAATTAGCTTTGTACAGTCACAAAGTAGTTAGCATAAAATCAAAAACTGCATAGTAAGTAAATAAAATAATAGTGGAAGTATTTACTGGAGATAAGAGCGTGATCAAATAATTGAATTCCTGTGGTTCCAAGAATGAAATAAATCTCAGGTGAATCCTCCCTTATGCCCAAGGTCCTGGACGCATGACATCACTTTCCCAGAAGCAACAGCGTGGCTGCTTCTCCCCACTTTGCCTGATTTCAGTGTGTGTGATGGCCTGAGCAGTTGTCCTTAATTAACTTTTCCCAGGGATCTTGGGTGGAACCCTACCACCAACCCAACCCAAACAATATATTTTTTTCAAGCCTGGTGTAATGACTTAGTAAATCTGTTTTATCCAGCTTAAGTGATGTGTTACAGTCCACACCTAAAAGCCATAAAGTGAGAAAAAAAACAGGGGCTGAGCATCCTGGCTATCTTGAAGAGCTGTTTGGAAATGAAGTCACTCCCAAACGAGTGGTGATGGACGCCAGAGGATTTTTAATGCTTTGGGCTGCAGCCACGTGTTGCCTGACACTGCGCCAGCCCTCTCACTGCAGCGACCTCTTGGCAGCCCCTCTTCATCCTCCACTCCTTTCCTCATACAAAAACTCCTCTTTCTCTTGACATCTTTGGATCTTCAGGCCATCTTTGGAAAATAAGCCATTGTTTTTGCTTTAGAGACCCTCAGCTGCCTCTTGCTTGCACCGCTTTCCTCTGTACATCCTGCTGTGTTTTTTCCTGGGAAGGATGTTGGCTTGCACAGTCCTCTGCATTTCCAAGCGTGAGCAGCCCACACATTGCACAGATTAATGTTGTGTTTATAGCATGCAGGAGCACTGCAACACAGCAGAGATATTCAGGTGGTACCTTGCAGCTCTATTGTTTGCTCAAAAACATGGAAGGTGTTTTAATTTCAGCAAGAAGGTGGCAAAAAATCCCCAGGAATTTATCTGCTCATACAAGTGTTTGGAGATGTTAGAATAGTGCAAGTCTAGATGTGATGCTGGAGAATTATCTTGTTTCTTGGGAAACAAAAGGATTTCCCTGCAGGATACTTTGGGAGGAGGAGTAGGGTGCTGAATGGGTGCTACTGAGCTAAAGTGTGTGTTGGTGGTAGCCAGCCCCATGACTGAAATTTAATGATTGTTTCATAACCCTCTTTAAAATAGTTTTCAGTCTTTTGCTGCCTGCTGTGGCAGAGCAGCTAACTTGAGGCTCACCAGTGCATCTACCTGGCATATATTGATCAGGGTGAATATTTCAGCCTCTACAATCATGTGTTTAGGGTCATAGCCAGGGTGGATATCTTCAAATCAGACTTTCTGAAGAGGTGGAGGTCAAATATATGATCTCACAACATTTTGGCCGTTCCAAATAGCAAAATCTCATGAAATAAGGTCAACTGCAAACAGTTTTGAATGTACTGGCTCCATCTGTCTTGACTTTGAGTCTTCAGCTTTCATGCTCCTCTTCAAATTGTGTTTTGTTGTTTGTTTGTTTGTTTGTTTTTTCCCCAGTAAGGACCCTGTTTTATTTTTTTCTTGTATCCTTTGCTTTTCTTACACCACAACACTCAATTCCTCAGCTACCTCATTTTTCTAATGCTGGCAGTTGTCACCATTGTATATTTTTTGGAAGAATTTTTCTACAAAGTATGTACTTTTTTTATTTTTGGCAAATTGTCAGGGGCAAAAATCTTTAATTTCCTTTCCATCCCTTTACTGTAAAAGTTGTGATATTGCCATATTTAAGGCTTGGCCTCTGTTAGGCCCATGCAATGGATGTATGGCCAAAATGTATGCAATGCTAAAACCCAGCTGCTTAGAGGAGATAACTACATAATTGCCATTATTTCAAAGGGAGATAGACCCTAAATCCCAAATAGGATTTATGCCTTACTCTGGGCTAGATTTATCTGAACATTTAGTAATTTACCTGCTTTTGAAATCAGTAAGAATCAGTTTTTAAAATTAGCCCATGGGATTATGTCTCTCCTAGACAGCGGGAGAGAATTGAAACTTCAGCTCCGGAACAAATACATTAAACAACTTTTCATTTGAATAACTGAAATAACTGGGAGTTCTGTAGCTGGGGGCTTTGGAAAGTCCCCAGAGTCTTTCACCTGCATCTTTCAGCACTACACATGTCTTTGAAATTGTGGCCCTGAGGCACTTTTGAATATGTTATCCATCCCCGTTAATAGGATGTACATGATACTGCTATTATAGATGAGATTTCTGCTTTCCTATCTCTGGCTGATGAGGGATGAAGATGTGCAGGTACAGAACAGCAAGTCCCTAATGAGAGGAAAGGGCAGAAATGCCATTGGTTTCTAACTGGCAGCTGGATGAAAATCTGAAAGCACGTCTAATTCAAGCTGTTAAAAAGAAAGTGATGATAGAATACTTTGA